GTCATTCTGCTACAGTGTCATGTGAACTGTTGTCTCCATCTTGATCCCATTGTTTGCGCAAAAATCTCTGAATCTACGATTTCTGTACTTTCCTCCATTGTCAAACCTCAACCACTTGACTTTCAGACCAATCTCATTTTCCATCATGGCCTTCCATTTTCTGAAAGTATCAAAGACTTCTGATTTCTTCTTCAGAAATTAAACCCATACCTTCCTTGTTGAATCATCGATGAAGATGACATAATATAATGAGCCTGCAAGAGATGGAACTGGAGATGGTCCCCATACATCAGTATGAACCAACTCTAACTTTTCAGCCTTGAGTGTCTTACCAATCTTTGCAAAGCTGACTTTATTTTGTTTACCAAAGATGCAATCCTCGCATAGTCCAACATCTACATTCTTTAGATCCGGCAGCTTCCCTTTTGAAAAAAGTGTCTTCATCCCTTTCTCGCTCATATGGCCAAGCCTTTGGTGCCATAGGTTTGATTTTCCATCAGCATCTGCAGCATCTGCTACTGCTACTGCAATGATATTCTCTAAATTTGAGGTTATATAGAGAGTACCAGTCTTCTTATCACGAGCAATGACGAGTGCTCCTTTGGTAATCTTCCATTCACAGCATGAAAAGTTTGTACTATATCCTTCTCCATCAAGCTGTCCTACAGAAATCAAATTTATTTTGAGACTAGGAATATGTCTCACACCTTTCAGTGTCCAGGTGGTCTGGTTTGGTAGCTTTAATCGGATGTCTCTCTTTCCGACGATCTTCAAGGTTTCATCATCAGCTATATGAACCTTCCCAAAATCACCACTGACATAGTTCTCCATGATTTCTCGGCATGGGGTAGAGTGGAAAGATGCCCCTGAATCCAAGATCCATGATTCAATCAGACTGTTGACACTTAGAATCATTGCGTCACCTGTCTCCTTTGTCACGTTGGCAGATTCCTGTGCGCCAGTATTTTTCTTCGGTGCTCGGCAATCTCTTTTAAAATGATCCTTCTTGCAGCAGTTATAACAGGTAAAATCTTTCTTTTCCGTTCTTGATTTTCCCCTTCTGGATTTGGATCTGCCACGATTTGAATTTCTTTCTGAAGTTCTCCCTCTGGACTCCGTGTGCAAGGCTGAGGAGGTTGATTCTTCACCCGCTTCTCTCCGTCGAATTTCTTTACTCAATACCAGATCCCGAACATCGTCGAATTTTAATTGTTGTTTCCCGACGAGCTACTGACTGCTGTAACAGTAGCATTCCAATTGTCTGGTAGAGATGATAAGAGAATTAAAGCTCGAACTTCATCATCGAATTCAATTTCCACGGAACTCAACTGGGTTGTGATTGTGTTAAGCTCATTTAGGTGTTGAGCCACCGATGCCCCTTCCGCCATCCGTAAATTGAATAATCGCCTCATCAAATGAACTTTGTTTGAGGCTGATGACTTCTCATACATACTAGAGAGTGCCGCCATAAGACTCGTCGTGGTCTTTTCCTTTGCTATGTTGAAAGCAACATTTCGGGATAACGTCAGTCGGATAACTCCGAGGGCTTGTCTGTCGAGAAGAGCCCAGTCTTCATTCTTCAATCCCTCTGGTTGTTTTCCTGAGAGAGGTTGATATAGATTTTTCTGGTACAAAAAATATTCAATCTGCATCTTCCAAAAGCCAAAGTCCGCACCATCGAACTTCTCAATTTTCACATTCCCTTCGTCTGCAATCATTACTCCCACTCGAATCTGGCTTCGTTTGGATTATTTCTGACAATTCTTGCGAACCACCGTGTATTAGAACACCTCCGTCGATAAACTCATATCGCCGCCAATTTTTTTACTATTCATGAATTCACTATTCATGTGAATAGTAACCCCGTAAAAAAATTGACAAAATGCACAACCAAAAGCTCTGATACCAGTTGTTGGGAAATAAACAAGTAACAAGTAATTTTCCTATAACCAGATTAGTGAGAATGCAAAATAAATGCGAAAAAAGAATACCTAAAATTGATAACGGATTTCAGCCAATTGTGCTTACGTCTCCGGACTGCTGCAGATATTTTACTAAGAGAGAAAATTTACAGGTGTTTACAAAACACTCACTACTCACAAGAAACTCTCTAGTATTGAGAGAAATAAATGATTTGGGATGATTTTGAAGCTAAATGGGTTAGGGTATTTATAGTTGAGCCTTAGGGACTAATCTTATAATTAACCCTATTTTTGGTACCCCCTTTATTGAAAATTTGCATCCCCTATTTTTGAAAAAACAAGCCTCTTTTGCTGACTTTTCTAACAAAAGAGGGATCGAAGTGTTTTACATGCCGAAATCGTGCGATTAAGGCAACAGCAGAAGCATTCAAGTTACCAAGTTGTTGCAATAGAGGAAAGGTTACAGAACACATAGAGGAAACAGTAGCAGATAATGGCATTCCTTGCTAAGGCTCTACGAAACCCAACTTTTATCAAGCAACTCGCTCAGCAAAGACATGTTCCGGGGGTTGAAATAGGTCGAAAACGTCGACTAGCAGCGAGCCCTAGCTTGGAGAATTTGCAACAAGAAGCGGTCCATGTGGTGGTCGATAATGATCAAGTCGATGAGCTAGAAGAATTGACTACCATTGAGTCTGAGATCGAGACGTTTTTTACATCCGCCATGGATAATGAATCCAGCAGTGAAATCAAGGATCACATAACAAGTCCAATGCCCGTTTCAAGTGTGACTAACACCTTGGGTGTTAATGATACGACATGGGAAGAGTTAATAAATGAAGATTTAATAGGCGGTGAATCGAGGGAGGAACTCGTGATTGGTGATCAAGCTGAAGTTGATGTTCAAGTTGAAGATTTGGCAGCAAACCCTGCAGATTGGGTTGATGATTTGCAGGAACTTGTGGATCAAATGGATTATCTCATGTCAAAAAAAAAACATTAATGGAATGTAGGGTGATCTTGTTATTCTGGGGCTTTGACTTGAGTTGGTCTCTTTGGCACCATTCCTTGTGTTATTGAACTGGTATGTTCATCAATCTCAGCTTGTGGTTCATGTTGATATGTATATTGCTTGTGAAGACTTTTAACCTTGTATATTATTTCTCTTACAGCAGAGAATGATGAAAGTTGCTTAGGGGCCAACAAAAATTCTTGTTATTCTCTTTATCCTTTATTAATCGTCAAATCTTATTTTTATTCTTCTTCTGAGAAACAATATCAAAGCTATTCTGGAATTTGATTTAGTAGTTTATAACATAATTATTGTTCTCCTTGTAATTTTTGGCAGGCGAACCAAGTGAAAAGAGGTGTATGATAATGACATGAAGGAGCCCTTTGAAGCCAATATATCTTCCGCAGGCTTCAAGTTCCAGAATTTTGGTGTTTACTGCGTCTATACATTATAGCTGAAATATGCACGTTTGGTCTCCATGTTAATTGTTATTATGTTTGTTTATCAGTTTCAGAACATAGGCATATATAATGATGGTTGCCTACTTGATGCTGTATTCATTGTTGTTTACACAGTAATGATCGTTTGCTCATTACTGTATGAATTGAATCCTTTGTAAAATGTCTCTCTTCAAAGTTCAAACCGAAGATAGGAAATTTCAAGTAATGGAAGAACATGAAGTTTAACCCTAAATTGACTGAAAAAAATAAAAACGACGTAGTTTTCATCTGTAGACATCACTAGATAGGAACTGCATTGTCTCGCTGCAATGCCTTCAGATGATGTGACACGTGCCCTCTTCGTCCCTGTTGGATCGTTGTTAACGTCAAAGCTCATGCCATCTCCCCCGATTAAATCGGCGAACATCCTTTGCAAATCCTCAAAACTGTCCTATGATTAAAGATCCACAATAGAATATTAATGCCCTGTCGTTTAAATCATAATTACGTATTTAGCCTCTTAATAAAGAGGAATATCAAGGGCAGGCCTCATTATTCACCATCGAGATCATTTCTTGCGTAAAATCACATCACAGAAATCCTGCCCGCAAATCTTACGAAATTTAGGTGATAAAAATGGAAATAACAAAGAAAAAAAGGTTCTCCGTATGAATTTTTTAATGAACACACAAGGACCCGAAGAATTGACATTGCCGATGCAATGACATTTTCGCTAAGCAAGAAGTAAGATTCGACAGCGTTTCATTTGCATGGAAAGAAATTTTTAAAAGAAGGGAGAAAGAAAGGAGATATTTTTTTAACCAAACTCGTCTCAGTTCATTGACTCAGTCGCTGAAACCACCGGGTTCAAAGTTGGAAGTTTTATCAGCCGAAGAAGAAGCCCGGTTCTTGCCGGTTTTTGATAATCGGGCCTTGAACGTCGATATCGGAGGTGGGTCAACTGAGTTTGCCATTGGGTTACGTGGAAAGGTTGAATTTTGTTCGTCTTTGAAGCTTGGCAACGTCACTTTGACTCTACAGAATTTCGGGGATGAAGAGGCTAAAAGAGCTCCGAATATGAGGAACTATACTAGGAATATCGTTAAGGAATCTGGGTTAATCGAGAAAGTTAAAAATTTTGGCTTTGAAATAGCTTTGGGGTCATCAGGGACAATAAGAGCCATTGAGAAAGCAGTTTCCAAAGGGCATGCATTGGATTTTGCTGAGAACGAAGCTTTGTTTAGTGAATGTAAAGGGGATTGGAGCTTTAGCAGAGATAAACTAAATAGTGTTGTCGAGAGCAACTGTAAAGGATGAGAGAGACAAAAAGTAAAGAGAGATGTGTTTTTCAAGAGGAGATCAGAGTCAATTGTTGCTGGATCAATCATAGATTTTCTTGCACATTGGAGGATCAGTTCATGATTACAACAGTTATGTTATATTATCTTGTTCTTCCATATTATAGCATTCTAAAATGCACAAAAACTTTGATGAAAATTCGATTAATAATTTGACCATTTAAATGCATAATTTAATTATCCTGAGCCGTCTAAGATGGCAATGCATTATTGATTTCAACTTACAAACACTCTTTATACGGACCCTTTTTTGTTTCAGTTGTTACAAAAGGGGAGGAAACACTACATAAGATCTACAAATATTCTAACCTAAAACATCTAGGAGAGTCTTGCCCCCCTGATTGCACCCATGAATCAACTTGAAGAGCATCCACATATACTTGGAGAAAGCTTAATTGCTTTTAAAGTAAATCTAGGTAACTATATATACACAAACCTGGTGGCGAGTCGCCTTCGTGCGGCACCGCGACTAATCAACCTCCATCGGATAACAGCTTGTAGCTTCAACCACCTAGCTTTGGGCCACACATCTCTGGTCTCTCCAATGTTTGGCTATTTACATTTAGGGAAGATATAGGGTGCCTACCGATGATTCGGAGGCCAAAGTCAAAATATTAGATCCACTAGGTAGTCCCCATGCTGGAGTAGTTGAAGTCCAGATTGGCATTTGAGCTTGAGAATTATCCTCGGTCGCAAAATGATCACCTGTGAAAAATGACAAACTGTTCTCTCCATTGGATTGGAAGATTCCTCCCAATCTGAAGCTGTTTCTTAGGGTTGGATTGAAAGCTTTGATAGCAGGCTCATCGTGTGGTAAAGAAACCTGTAATTGATTGGCATCTTTCATTTCATAGGCATAGGATGTTGATGATTGGTTGAAATTACTATTTGATGTATCTGGTTCATCTTCATACATACATAAAAGAATGAATTCAATCAAGACGAGTTTACGATATAGCCTGCGATTTGTTTATTGAAGTGACAAGTATATAATGTCTATACTAGAAAATTCTTGTACCTTGGTTTTCAACCGAGAAATCAGATTGCTGCAGAAGTAAATTTGGGACGTGTCGCAACCGTCTTTCGGTTGGTTTCCGGAATTGGGCTTCGACTTAGAAAAATGTGGATTGGAGTCGCCACCGATCATTTATTTAAAAATAAATGGGTTGATCGGATACCCTATTTCTTACCTGATCTGCGTCTTACCAGAAATATGTCGGGCTCGGGAGTCGGTTACGGTTAAGGAAGGATTAGCACCCTTGAGCCGCCCTTTCGGTACTACGTAATTTCCAGTTGTCTTAATTAAGAAAAATAACAAGTTAAATTAAAAGGTAAAGTTTCAATCCTAATTACTTACCCTTGATTAATTTGAAAATATCCTTTAAAAAGAATCGAGAAATGTGTTAGATAAACAAGGTAAAGAAAACAAATAAGATACAAGGAAAAATAAAATAAATAGTAAGAAAATAATAGTAAAGTAATAATTATATATAGTAATATTTGAAAAAAGAAAAAAATATAATATATATATATATATCAAAGTATTAATAAAATAAATAAGCTATATATATATACCAAATACTTAAAAATAGAAAAGCTACCCTCCCAATTCACCGAAAGTGGGGGGCTTTAGTAAGAAATAAGATAAAAAAAAATGGGTCATCTAGGTTAGTAGTATATAATATAATGTTTAATAATGATAATGATAAAGACACAAGGTTTTTTTTTAAAGAAAATAATAATATAATAATAATGAATAAAAAAACAAAAATAATAAAAAAATAATATAAAGTTATAAAGTTATAAGATATATTACATAAATAAAGAAATAATCAAATAAAAATAATTAAGAATATATATTTAATAATAGGTATATAAATAAACTATTAAAAGTATAAAAAATATATACGACTAGATAAAGATAATTACAATATATATATAGTAATATTAGACTTATAAGTAAAATATTAAAGAAATATATATATATATAATAATAATAAAATATAGTAAAAAAATAAATGAAAATAATTATATATATATATATATATATATATATATATATATACATATAATAATAACATGAATAATAAAAATAAATGAATAAAATATTCATATAATAAATAAAGAGACTAATATAGATTTTTTAAAAAAACTCTTCCCCTCCTTTAACCGAAAATCAAACCGATTTTTAAAAATAAGCATCGGGGTAGATCTAGGTTCGAAACTTCGAAACCCCACCCATTTTGGTCATCGGCGCAACCCACGTTTTGGGTTATTCAAACCAAATCTCAAGAAAAATAACGTGCACATGCAAAAGAAAGAAAAAAGAAAATGCTACCTTTTATTTCCTTTTCGAATCCTTTACAATAGTTTTGCCTTTGTATCTTCCCGTGCTTTCCTCTATGTTTTATGTGTAAATCGTGTGTTACAATGGTGAGTTACAATGGCTATTTATAGTGCTTGTGGATCCTATCTTTAGGAATTTAAATAATAGTAGAACTCTATCCTATTTTTAGGAGTTTGAATCCTAGCAAAATTTTATCCTATTTTTAGGAGTTTGAATCCTAAAATTCTATCCTATTTTTAGGAGTTTCAATCATAGTAGGATGAAAAATGTGTGTTGACAGCTGCCCCTCTTTGCCCATAGTCGTGTAACGGGGATAGGGCAAAGATTAAAAGACACACTTTTCGTTCAGTGGAGTTGAAAATTAACTCTGATGTTTCAATAACTCCCTGTCGAATTGAGTTACGGATGACTCCTCCATCGTGAAGTCGAGTTCATCTTGAAATGATATGAAATTAAAGTCGTAGTTCGGAATTTGAATCTGCACGTGGCTTCCCGTTACCCTTCGGTCTTCTTCTCGGTTTAAAGACCTTGGATCGGAATCGAACTCAGAAATCTTCATTGACAGATAGCTTTTTTCTTGACTTAAGCTATGTTGTTTGAAAATGGTTGCTTGTCACTAAGGCACGGCTAACCCAGGTCCTCTTCTCGACTTGAAAACCTCGACTGCAACCGGAAAGTAGTGTGATTGATGTGTCATCGAGCTGAATGGAGTCGAACTCGACAATTTTGATGGCAGATAATCTTTCTTTGAGTTGGATATCCTTCGTCGTGAAGTTGAAATCCAAGTAAGTAGCATTGTTCCAAGTCCAATATCCTCCGTCGTGAAGTTGAAATTGGCTCTGGAACCGGGAAATTGTTTGTTGACAACCAGCCGTCCCTTCGTTGTGAAGTTGAACTTGTGTTGTCTCGAGTCCAATATCCTTCGTTGTGAAGTTGAAATTGAATCTGAATGAAATTTTGTTGACAAGCAGCGGTCCCTTCGTCGTGAAGTTGAACTTGCGTTGTCTGGAGTCCAATATCTTTCGTTGTGAAGTTGAAATTGGCTCTGGGATTGGGAAATTGTTGTTGACAAACAGCGGTCCCTTCGTCGTGAAGTTGAACTTGCATTGTCTGGAGTCCAATATCCTTCGTTGTGAAGTTGAAATTGGCTCTGAAATTGGGAAAATTGTTTATTGACAACCAGCGGTCCCTTCGTCGTGAAGTTGAACTTGCGTTGTCTGGAGTCCAATATCCTTCGTTGTGAAGTTGAAATTGGCTCTGAAATTGAGAAGTTGTTTGTTGACAACCAGCCGTCCCTTCGTTGTGAAGTTGAACTTGTGTTGTCTCGAGTGCCACGATATCCTCCGTCGTGGAGTTGAAATCGCGGATGGCCCCTTCGTTGTGAAGTTGAGCCTTGACTTGAATATCCTTCGTCGTGAAGTTGAAATCCAAGTATTGTATGTTGCGGGTGGACACAATTCCATTCGCCGTGAAGTTGAAACCGTGGAGACCCCTTTATTGTGAAGTTTAGCTTCGAGCTAGATATCCTTCGTCGTGAAGTTGAAATCCACTCTCGAGCAAATTGTGTCGCTATGAGTGCAATATCCTTCGCCGCGAAGTTGAAATTGACTCTAGCTAAAACCTGAAAAAGTTATGCATATATGTGATGCTATGGATGCAATGCTCTTAGGTGTGCCTAAAATGCATATGCAACATATGTTATCTTGGGGCTCTAGAGAGAAATCTCGATCTCCAGTTGCCTGTCTGGAATCTTGATTCTTGAATCTTCAAATTTTGATCCCTGATCTTGAATTCTTCAAATATTCAAATCTGATGTGCACATTCTATTTTTGATTTGAGAAATGCTTCTCGACCATCTCAAGTATGTGCCTGAGCTGAGTGTAACAGTTCAGATGATGCTTCAAAAGAAGTTGTCTTGAAAGAGATAGAATTCGTTTCAAGGGAAACGATCTCAAAGATATCTGTTGTTTCATGAGAAACGGTCTCAAGGGAAACAAAATTATGTTTTAAGGGAAATAAATTTGAAGATTTTGTGTTTCAAGAGTAACTGTCTCAAGGGAGACAAAATTTGTTTTAGGGGAAATAAATTCAAAGATTTTGTTTCAAGGGAAACTGTCTCAAGATAGACGAAAATTGTTTCAAGAGAAACTGTCTCAAGAGAGACAAAACTTAGTTCCAAAAGAAACTGTCTCAAGGGAGACGAAATTTGTTTCAAAGAAAACATATTCAAATATTTTGTTTCAAGGGAAACTGTCTCAAGAGAGACAAAATTTATTTCAAGGGAAACTGTCTCAAGATAGACGAAATTTGTTTCAAGAGAAACTGTCTCAAGAGAGACAAAATTTGTTTCAAGGGAAACTGTCTCAAGAGAGACAAAACTCTTCTAGTGAAAACGGTCTCAATCGAGACAAATCTTATTTTAAGAAAAACAATCATGAGTGAAATAAATCTTCTTTCGAGTAAAACAGTCCCAAGTGAGACAAAGTATGTTTTAAAAAAGCAATCTCAAGTGAGATAATCATCTGCATTAAATGAGACTGTCTCAAGCGAGACAGAATTTATATTGGAAATGTCGAATCTGAAAATGAATGTCGATCTTTCTATCTGTCGAGTTGGTTGAAGTGTAGCTTCTTGCTGCTGAGCTAAGCAACCGACATCAATCTGTAAAGGTTCTTTTGAATCGAGTATCCTTCGTCTTGACTCTAAAGCTGTAAAAATTATGTACGTGGAAAGAAAATGATAGATATGACGCTCTAAAATGTATGCATAAGATGCATGTAACATGAATTGGTTATATTTTATCTCCTGAAAAAGGTCTGATAATTCGCATTAGGATGCTAAATCCCCAAAGATGACTCAATATCCAAAAATGCCCCAATATTTGATGTTGAATCTTCAAAGATGCCCCAAATGTTCCTCATTTCATACTTCAGCATTGATTCTGAGCATGAGTTTTGTGTCTAAGAGTCACATGCCATTTACCAAGATCCACTCTAGAGAGACTGTCTTGTTTGAAAAAAATATTTTTATTTCTCTTCTATTTTCAAAGTTATGAAAATATCAATTAAAAGAGTTTTGAAAATATTGTCACTTTCACGGTTTTACAATTGAGACGAATCATAAAACTAGAGTTCAACGGATATCAAAGAATTAATTACAATGTTAATCCTTCAATAAATTATAGTTATTTGACAAGTGTCAAGATCAAAGCTATCTTTGGGAAATGGTTAAGTAAGGAAAAGATAAAAAGTCTCATGTTATTGTGTTTGGTCAAGGGTTTGGCATTTGATGCTCAAAGGTTTGGTATTTGATGCTCAAAGGATTGATGGGGTAGCTTGCATGCTCCTCTGCTGGAAGTGTTCTCTGACTCCCAACCTTCGTTGTCACACACAGATTGTGCGATGCCTTATCAAGGAATTTGTGTGATCGCCTCAGTTGCACAATTTTTATATTCAAGCCGCCTTTTCAGGTTTTGAACTCGAACCCTCCTTTGGTTTCAAGACGTTATTCAGGATTTACGTCTTGAACCCCCCTTTGTTATTTTTTCTACCATGCATTAACTACATTGTTTTTTTGCAAACAAAGATTAATCCTGATGGGCGGGATGAAATCTGAAGATAGTATCTTCTGTTTAGAAATCCATGTATGATTAGAAGGGACTTTTAAGACACGTAATGTAGGCCAAGGCTCATGGTTATGAAAGAAAAGGATAAATAGGCCCAAACAAGTGTTTCAGGGTGTTGAACCAAGGATCAATTCATTCTGATGCCTTCAATCCTGTCTTGCTCAATTTGGATCTGCTCATATGTGTTTCTCTGGATTTTCTCTGGATGTTCCATGATCTTCGAGTGAAGTGATTCAGAGATTCGGGAATGATTGTGCTTGATCAATCTCATAGTTTGAGGCTTGATGTGCCATTTGTCTTTAGGGAATCTTTGCATGTGCTTTTTGTCCCTTTTTATTTTTGATTTTTGCTCTTTTTTTCTTTTGTTCTTGTTTCTCTTTTTCTTTGTTTTTTTTTGCTTTTTTGCTTCTTTTCTTTTTTGTTCTTGATTGGATCTTCGCACTTGCCATTTGGTCCACCTTTTGGTGTCTCCTTTTGATTGATGTCTTCACTCATGTGAGCAGATTTCTTCCACCTTGCCCCCCAATATGGAGGGTGATCCTTGGTTAGGGTTGGATCAGAAGAAAAATACTACAGGCTCAAAAGGGGACACAAGGGATATATATTTTCTCCTGTTGTAAAGGGATAAAGAAAGAAAGCCGTTCATCATTTCATACATGGAAGTCCTCACAGAAGAGGTATCCCCAGGGGGATAGATTTTCAGGATTAATTTCATTCACATGAAAACAGTGTAGTTAATGCGTGATAGAATTATTTCGAATGAATTGTTTTTTTGCTCCTTGCTCCCAACATATCTCAATGTTCAGGCTCCCGGCGAGATGCCCCAAATTGTGTCTTAGAAGAATGCTCATGTTCAAATGAACAACTCAATGCCTTGGATATTAAAATGTCAATTTTGAGTCTAATGGTGTGACTTTATTTGACTCAAAGAAAGGTATGGGTGTATCAAAAAGATAAAGACAATGTTCAAGAATTTCAAAGGGAAGTTATGTCAAAATTTGGTCTTTTTGGTAATGATTAAGGTATTTCATTTTGGGGTTTGAGAAATGATAAGAAAGGTCTAATCTTGTCATATGCCAAAAATCTATAATTCTTGAAGAGTTAAAAGAATCCTTAATTCATTTAATATTCGAAGAACTAAAGATTAAAATTTGTTCAATTGCTCCACCTTAGAAAGTAGCATAACTTCAATCCTTTAAAAGATTAAGTAAACATGAAATATCAAAGACGTGTTCAAACAAAACAATCCTCTAAGTGCAAATGGTATATGCCATGCCCCCTTCGACAAGTGCCTTACAGTTTTTAGAGGAATGTTTGGGGTTTCTTATGTGGTAACAGCTAACAGCTTCAACATCGTAGCCCTTAGGATATGGAGATTCTTTAGATCTTCATGGCAGGCTTTGTCCTACAATCAGCTGATCAGGCTCCTACTGTATTGTTTTCAGTTTTTTTCTTTAAGGTTACAATCTTGCTTCCATGTGGTTAAATCCACTTCATCGAATCATCTAGGAAGAAATTTCATGTTTATGAAAATGCTTAAAAATGTAGATGAAGATGAAAAAATGCAAGAATGCATGAAATGTTCGAGGCATTGATCCAAGAAATGTGCATGTTATTATGAATAATCTTTATTGGGGACAAAAATGTTTTATCTTTTAAGAGACAAAAATATCCTGACAGCTTCTGATATGTTGACTAGTCTTCTGCTTTCGTCTTTCACCGATTGAATAACCTGTCGAACCGCTCCGGCCTCTCTGGATGAACCGTGAAAATGTTGAGTTATTTTTCGTATTGGTCCAAGAAGTCTCGAATGATCGCATCTCGAGTACCTACTTTTGTTGAGCCTGTTCCCAACGAATTCGTCATTGGAGCCCTTAATTGATAGGAACTATGTGAAGTTCATTAATCTGTTTCTTGAATTCGCCAGCAATGGTCTCCAATTTCAGCTATCATTTTGCCATTGTCGTGTTCAAAGGGACTTCCAAGATACATAACCTTCATCCTGCCCCTGCAACCTCTGCCAGTCAGTTCTTCAAAGATAAGCTTTCATTGTGCTTGATGTAGACCCGGTTCATTCTGAGTCCTTTATAATGCAGCAGAGTGATATACTCTTCAATTGTGGGCACCACGTCTTCTGGATTGAATGTGACACACATAGTCGCCTTGTAGACTATCCTTTGTATTTTCATCTCTTGTATTACAACACCTTTGTTCATGGATTCAGATTATTCGAGTTTTAACAAACACGTTTTAGTGGATCAATACCTCTTTTAAATGATGCAAGTGATGAAAATAAAAGAAAAGAAAAGAAAGATGAAAAGAGTTAGTGAGGTGAAAAATAATAAAAAACGATCATGAAAATGAAAAATCCTACCCCACATGATATCTACCCCAACATGCTTATTATTCCTACCCGGACATGATCTCTATCCCGCATGCTAATCTCAAACAAATCCTAATCGCATATTTGTCTAGTTCGCATGCTTTGAACATAAAGTAAGGCAAGAAATAAAATCAAAGCAGCCTAAGGTTTGGAATGAGGTTTTGGGGTGGGCTCTAATTCTCAATTATATCCCGGTTTAGGTTCTAAAAAACGGTACCCGAGTTCTTCTTGTCGGTGCCCCCTTGGACCGACCAGACCCTTAGTCCGAAACCCATCACAGGCTTGTGTGGACTAAGTTAAACTCGAGAGGACACATTCCCTTATGCCCATACGGAGAATAAATTCACACGAAGGCATAAGGTATATGAATCCCGAAGGCTACTTGCTAGGCCCATACGGTGAATAAATTCACACGAAGGCGTCGCTTTCACCCCCACTTAAAACGGGTTCGGAGCTCGGGTTTAGAGCCTTAGATGAAAAATGTTTGGAAAGCTGAAATCATGAGAAAACGATTAGTACAACTATTTACTCGAAAAATATAATCAAAAGTAAGAAATAAGGATCGAAATGTTACCTTAAAATTTAAAATTACCCTTTTCGTTAAAAAGACAACTGGAAATTACCTTAGCCTGACTCGCTTACCTAGGTCCCCAGCGGAGTCGCCAAGCTGTCGCAACCGCCTTTCGGTTGGTTCCCGGAATTGGGCTTCGACTTAGAAAAATGTGGATTGGAGTCGCCACCGATCATTTATTTAAAAATAAATGGGTTGATCGGATACCCTATTTCTTACCTGATCTGCGTCTTACCAGAAATATGTCGGGCTCGGGAGTCGGTTACGGTTAAGGAAGGATTAGCACCCTTGAGCCGCCCTTTCGGTACTACGTAATTTCCAGTTGTCTTAATTAAGAAAAATAACAAGTTAAATTAAAAGGTAAAGTTTCAATCCTAATTACTTACCCTTGATTAATTTGAAAATATCCTTTAAAAAGAATCGAGAAATGTGTTAGATAAACAAGGTAAAGAAAACAAATAAGATACAAGGGAAAAATAAAATAAATAAGTAAGAAAATAATAGTAAAGTAATAATTATATATAGTAATATTTGAAAAAAGAAAAAAAATATATATATATATATATATATCAAAGTATTAATAAAATAAATAAGCTATATATATACACCAAATACTTAAAAATAGAAAAGCTACCCTCCCAATTCACCGAAAGTGGGGGGGCTTTAGTAAGAAATAAGACAAAAAAAATAGGCCATCTAGGTTAGTAGTATATAATATAATGTTTAATAATGATAATGATAAAGACACAAGGTTTTTTTTAAAGAAAATAATAATATAATAATAATGAATAAAAAAACAAAAATAATAAAAAATAATATAAAGTTATAAAGTTATAAGATATATTACATAAATAAAGAAATAATCAAATAAAAATAATTACATATATATTTAATAATAGGTATATAAATAAACTATTAAAAGTATAAAAAATATATACGACTAGATAAAAATAATTACAATATATATATAGTAATATTAGACTTATAAGTAAATATTAAAGAAATATATATATATAATAATAATAAAATATAGTAAAAAAATAAATGAAAATAATTATATATATATATATATATATAATAATAATAACATGAATAATAAAAATAAATGAATAAAATATTCATATAATAAATAAAGAGACTAATATAGATTTTTAAAAAAAACTCTTCCCCTCCTTTAACCGAAAATCAAACCGATTTTTAAAAATAAGCCTCGGGGTAGATCTAGGTTCGAAACTTCGAAACCCCACCCATTTTGGTCATCGGCGCAACCCACGTTTTGGGTTATTCAAACCAAATCTCAAGAAAAATAACGTGCACATGCAAAAGAAAGAAAAAAGAAAATGCTACCTTTTATTTCCTTTTCGAATCCTTTACAATAGTTTTGCCTTTGTATCTTCTCGTGCTTTCCTCTATGTTTTATGTGTAAATCGTGTGTTACAATGGTGAGTTACAATGGCTATTTATAGTGCTTGTGGATCCTATCTTTAGGAATTTAAATAATAGTAGAACTCTATCCTATTTTTAGGAGTTTGAATCCTAGCAAAATTTTATCCTATTTTTAAGAGTTTGAATCCTAAAATTCTATCCTATTTTTAGGAGTTTCAATCCTAGTAGGACGAAAAATGTGTGTTGACAGGACGCTAAGTGGCTCAGGCAGGAGATCTGTCAAGGGCATTGAGGGTCCCGTAGTTGCCCGCCTGTCAACCAAAACCAGGTACTGAACATTTTTGTAAGCTTGTCGCTTTGCATCTTCCACAAGAAGCTGGAAATCAAGAAGAGAATTGTTTGATATCGTCACATAAAACATATCTGTGAAGTACAGTAAATGAATGTATCTATTTGAGTTCTTATGATATGACAAACTAACCTTCTGAGAAAAGGTAAATTTTTCCACAAGGTGGTAGTTTTCGCCATCCAATGTTGCTGCCACAACTCTGTAAATGGAGTCTAATAAGAGTCCAACGCTTTGTGCGGTTCCATAGTAGGAATACCACTCATCATCAAGAATACAAGACAGAGCATGATCTATGATTGTATCCCATACCCGATTCGAGATCCCACTACCGAGTATCTGCAGTAATTAATGTCACAATTCAGTCAGCAGAACAAATCCACACTATATATGTATATATATACTCGTATCTGTAAACTAGGTGAACAAACACACACACATATACTCGTAACTGCACTCATCTCAAATCAAGTAACATAGACCATGACAATAACATGTATGCTCAAATTTTTGTGATTGAAATGAAGAGATTATTCTCTTACATCGTGCAGTGCAGATGGATCGGTAACATGCAACCTCAGGAAGTCCTTGACTGTGAAAATATTTTTAGAGGTGAGCCGTTTATGGAAGGCACCATCTTTGGCTATCCTTTCCAGACGCCACACTTCATCATGAGGGAAGGGAGGGTAGCGCTTCTTGTATTACTGCATAAATGTGTATATATCATATATGTTGCATTAATTAGTTGTTTTACAAAAGAGATTATTGAAGCTGAAGTTTATAAACAGCATTTGAACAATGAACTTACACTCTCCACGATGATCCTTCACCATGAATGCTTCACTTGTAGCCTCCCTGATTGTCGATTCACCAGGAATTCTCTGCATAACTCTAGCTCCTAGTCTAAACTTTCGACTTCTTATCCAGCTAGAATTGTCGGTGAAAATCAAATTATCAACTGTTCCTACACCGTCAACCAAGGTGATACTGAGATCCCGTCACCAGTGGTCTTCTACCTTCTCTTTCACGAAGAACACTGGCATTGAATTCACTTTCTGTCCAATCTTCTCGCTCATCAGTGCCAAACTCACCGTTAAGGACTAGAATCTCAACCTTAATAGAAGACAGTGAACCAGATGAGATCATCATTCCCATAGTTGCATCGACTAGGATAAGCCTAATGGTCTCCCCATCCTCGGCTTCAACCTTGCGTCCCGTAAATATGGTGGAGGGTAGTTTATTGACGAATCGTAACTGCAAGCTTCTTCCTCTAGATGCTTCAATCTGATTAGTCAATGACCTAAAACGCCGGTAAACAAATACCAGTTTTAGACCGTTAATTGAGATGAATACTTATGAAACATGAATGATATATTCTAGTGTTCAATCCATTGCAGCAAAATCTTTTAACATGTGTTCTATGCCAATAGATCCAATATAGCTTACCTTGAAGATGGTTGAAAGGAAGACAAAATTGCTCTTTCCACTTCTTCCCTTACCTAATAAAAAATGACATGTACAAGAATTAAAAACAGAGATGCATAATGAACACGAGTATTTTCAGGAAATGAAGAGTTCGAGTAACATAAACTACATCTAAACATCTCAAGTTACAAGATAAGCTGCTAATGTAAACCCGAAATGATCCGACGATTGAACTAACCCATGATTGAAGCATCGGTTCCAGGTTCAGCACAATTCTATTAAAGGAAAGCCTTCCAAATCTCATTATGCTTCTAACAGCAATGGAAAACAAGAAGGAAACATGCAATGATTAAATAGCTTAGAATCGTAAAGAACCAAACTTGTCTCATTTCATGCATAAATAAATAAACCAAACTCAGTCCTTAAGGGTAACCCTTCTTTTCGGCTTGGGAGCCATAGAATCAAACCTCTCGTCAGCTCCATCAGGAGCAGGCCTCTTACAAGGCAACTTCATGGGAAGCGCAAGAAGTTGGAAGTTGACAACGGTTAGGCAAAAACTCAAAACACTTGGAGAGCATATAATATTCAAACCCAAGTATTGTTGCTAAACTTCTCCAGCTGTCCCCTTTATAGGATATTCCTAGCAGTAAATGGTAGATAGCAATGCTTCAGTTGACTAATAAATACAACTAAAACCGTTCATTGAATATTACCAGGAAACGTACAAAAAAAACATCACTAATTCCGAAACACGTTTTGCAACAAGTCAAGGAAAAAATTTGTAATAAAAGCATCAAAGCAACATGAAAAATCAAAAAAAAAAAAAGCTAGCAACTAAATCGTTATTAAAATATAGGGTAATTCTATGAGGACATGTAACATGCTTGAATTCTACACATGACTTCTTTAATACCCAGTCAAGTAATGTTGAAAAAAAACTGGGTTTTCGGGTTTTCAAAGGGTGCAACAAGAACAAACGCGTGAATGATCATTGAAACGTACGTAAAATGGCAGAAAGAAAGTACAATCAAAACGAGTAATCCAATAAAATAATTTCTTTTTGGTGGTAGTAGTAGTAGTTCTTCGGACAAAAAACACGGTGGATTAAAAACGAGTCATATCAGAAGAAACCATTTTTTGTATGTTTTTCTACAAATGCCGCGTTGTGCTGGATTACGATCTTTTGTTGGATTTGAAAACGTCCTTCTCTTCTCATGATTTATCATATCAATTAACTGAATTTCAAATTCGATAAAAAAAAAACTGAATTTTTGACAAAAACTAAGCATATATTGCATTGAATATAGCCCCGCCAGTAGATTGTTAATTTGTTGAATCTTTCGAATATTAAAAATTATAAAATAATCTCTTGATTATATGATATTATTTTGTTAAATTTTTTGTATTATTAAAAATTATAAAATAGTCATCTGATTATTTATATATTCCAAACAAATTATTTTTCGTTAACTAAACGTTAACTTGTTAATTAAAATATGATAAAATTTGATCCCAAAATCTCAAAATAATATCATTTCTAAGCAGCATGTTAATGTTTAACCATACAATCGTCAATTTTTTTAACATAAAATGATGAATTTAAAATATAAATAGTTAAGTAACTAATTTATAACTTTTAATAGTCTAGTGACCCAACGAAATAATACTCTATAATCAATAGATTATTTTATAATTTTTAATAGTCGAAAGACTCACCGAAAGAAAATCCTATAGTCATAGGGCTATTTATGTAATTCACCCTTGCTCCCTCCTCTCCCCCCCCCCCCCAAACCCCCAAAGAGAGTCTTCATTCTTGTTTCTCAAGGAATATTGTCAAGATTATTCCTGGTAGTAAAAAAAAAGGAGAGAATCATCGACCAACATTTGTTCGTTAAGCTATTGGCTTTGAAAAGATATATAAAACTAAGAATATTATCTACCTACACTTGACAATGACTAACAATCCAATTATAATTTGACTAAATTTTACTAAGAAAAAGCTTTATTAATTCTATATACTTAATAGAGTTTACATTAATTAGACTAAATTCCAATTATTTTTCATCGCTTCATCTTGGATTACCAAATGAAAAGTGAATAATAGTACGAAAAATGAAATTATTTTATTATGTTTTTTTAAATGATGATATAAACCATTGTCATAATAAATGTTGATGTTTGAACCCACACAAAATTAAGAACGAGTGAGCACCCCGTTTGGGTATATCTTAATTAGGCCATATATTTTCGATAGGCCTTAGCTTGATTTTGGCTCTATTTCGTGATCATACTAATAATTTTTTTTTTTTGGTTTTCAACAAAAAATTTAAGGGTGTCTTTCATTCTTTAAGTTGAACTTCGAGGAGTCTATGAAAGTATAAACTCATTAATATTTGTTGTAAGACTTGGTTATCGATTTTCATTTGATTCGACGATAAGCTAATGAGGAGACTAATATCGATCTCTTACCATATGAGACACTCTTCATTCTTGAGACACATAAATTTATGCACATTTGTAAATAGAATTGTTCATACTTAATTTTTTTTAAAAAGAAAATAACATTCTCTTCATCACAAGTGCCGTTCCTTAAGTTCCTTAACCCCACGAAGTTCATTATTATTCTTATAATAATTATATTAATATTTTTACAAAATCATATATGAATAATTTTGCTTTAAATAGTCAATTTAATCAAATTTGTTATAAAATTTAAATAATTATAATTAGGTGTGAATATACTAAATAATAATGTCATATGAAATCACTGGCGGAGTCAGTATATATTAATGGGTGTCAATTGACATCCCAAATGTTTTAAAACTTTCATTTTTACCTATATAAATTATATAATATATAATATAAAAGGAAAAAAATGATACCCTTTTAAAAATGTTTTGATATTCTTTAAAAAAGAAATTGACATCATATTTTAAAAAATATTTAACAATAGAAATTTTAAAATTTAATTTTTTCACTTAAAGAAAATTCTTCATATAATTTATAAATTTAACACCTTAAATTCTTTTTCTAGTTCCGCCCCTGCACGAATATAAGTACATGTATTTTATTTGTTTTATTATTATATTTATTTATTACTATAATTGTAGCAATGATCATGAGAGAATTTATTTTTGGTACAAAATAATTTTGGGTTTACTCTGTTAAAAGTAATGTTGATCCATTTAGATTAATGAGTTAGATCCATGTTGATTTGTTATTTTGGGATGTTTTGAGCCACTCCTCGGGCCTCAGATCACATTCCTTCCTTCTTCAAAAACTTGGGAATGTTTAAACAGAAAGTAAATAATCCCATCTCGCATGGCAAACAATCTCTTTGCAGCCATTGACATGGGCACCAATGCCTTCAAGCTCCTAATGGTTCAAGCTCATCTCCCTGGTAAATTCATCCCTCTTTTAACCGTCAAAGAACCCGTTGTTTTAGGCCACGATTCGCCTTCTTCCACAATCTCCACCCATTCCCAAAACCTCTCCATCAAATCCCTTCTGAATTTCAATAAGCTTATTCAAACTCATAATATCCCGCCTCTCCACACTCGCTGCATAGCCACATCGGCCGTCCGCGAGGCCCGGAACAAGGTCGAGTTCATTGACTCAGTCGCTGAAACCACCGGGTTCAAAGTTGAAGTTTTATCAGCCGAAGAAGAAGCCCGGTTTTCTTACCTGGGAACCCTTCAATTCTTGCCGGTTTTTGATAATATGGTCTTGAACGTCGATATCGGAGGTGGGTCAACTGAGATTGCCATTGGGTTACGTGGAAAGGTTGAATTTTGCTCGTCTTTGAAGCTTGGCCACGTCACTTTGACTCAACAGAATTTCGGGGATGAAGAGGCTAAAAGAGCTCCGAATATGAGGGACTATATTAGGAATGTCGTTAAGGAATCTGGGTTAATCGAGAAAGTTAAAAATTTTGGCTTTGAAATAGCTTTGGGGTCATCAGGGACAATAAGAGCCATTGAGAAAGCAGTTTCCAAAGGGCATGCATTGGATTTTGCTGAAAACGAAGCTTTGTTTAGTGAATGTAAAGGGGATTGGAGCTTTAGCAGAGATGAATTAAAGAGTGTTGTCGAGAGCCTCTGTAAAGGAGGAGAGGGACAAAAAGTAAAGAGAGATGGATTTTTCAAGAGGAGATCAGAGTCCATTGTTGCTGGTGGGATTTTGTTGGATGAGTTATTTGATTTACTTGGGATTCAAGAAATGTTGGTTTCTGGTTATGGATTGAGAGAAGGTGTGATTGCTGATTGTTTAGCTAAGGTCTTCTGTGATGGTTATGATTTGAACGCGAATGCTCGGTTTCGGTCGGTTTTGCAACTTGCTGCAAGGTTTAATGGCAAGAAGAAGACCACTTCTGCTGCCGAAATTGCTAGCATTGCAACGGTAATTTTGGCATATCTTGAGACTTTTAAAACTTTCCTATATTGTTTAGTTCAATTGTTTGGTTCTTTTGGGAATGTAGCAACTTTATGGAATAAGAATAACTATTATTTTAGTTTTTGATGATTAAAATTTGGTTTCAAGATTAAGAACCAAAACTTGATGAATGAGGGACTGATTATTTTGCATTTAGTAGCTCTTACATAAATGAAAAGAAATCATCTTGTGTTCATTATTCCCAACTTAATATTTCCAGGAGATTTTTGAAGGCTTAAGTAAATGCAAGGATCTTGATAACAATGGAGTTAACCTTTCTATTCATTTAGATGACAAAGATCTGGAATATCTTGAAGCTGCATGTTTACTGCACAATATAGGTCTCTCCACTGGTAAAAAGGGTTACCATAAGAAGTCATATCACATTATCATGGTGAGTTTGCTTTTCTATTTGCATTATTTGCCATAATTTATGCATGATCCGTGTCTATCGAATTGTATAAGAAAAAAGGGAAAATTTTCTGAGCTTTTTAGAACCAAGAAAAGCTGATGTTGCTCGCCAGAGTTGAGGAAAAAAGAAAGTAACTTAATGGCATTGAGAGTAAAGTCTTTGAATTTCTCGCTATGCATAAATGATAGTTTATTCTTTTTATCTCCATCTCTATTGACATGATCTATCGTATAGAACGGAAATCATCTTCATGGATATAGTGCTGAGGAGGTCAAGGTACACTATCTGCCTATCAACTGGTTTGTTTTTGTAATAAGGAATAGATGTCTAAACATGTTCTCAATACTGATCACCTTCTAGTGAGATTGCAGTTAATAGCTCTTCTTACGAGACACCATAGGAAGAAATTACCCAAGTTTGAGGACGATTCTTTTAATGAGTTCGGAGAAGAGGTATCTTATTCTATATGCTTGGTGATTTGTTGTTCATTTGATTTTAAGAGATTGGCATGATTGATTGTTTGTGCTTTATTTCAGGCAAATCAGAAACTCAAAGTTCTTTGCTCTATTATACGTTTATCTGTTGTGTTACATCACAATGGATGCATAAACTACAGAGAAATGGATTTTTCACATTCTTGTGAAGGTTTCAAGCTGGTAATGTCTAGTAACATGATGTGGAAATTATACTTTGTCCTGTTTTACTTTCTGCAGTTAATGTAGCATTTTTCTTTTGTTTGTTGTCATCCCAAATCGGTACTAAAGCACCATATAAACATAATAAGTCGAGTAAGGGAGCCTGATTTTTATGTGTTTTAAGCCTTTCTGCTGGCACTCGTTTCTTTTGTTTCCCGATCTCGCTTTATTTGTGTTATGTTAATGCCAAATAATGGTGTCGAGCCAATTTAGCTTGGTATGCTTCTTTCTTAAATATGTTTGAAATATTGGATATTAACTGTAATAACTTTTCTTTGGAAAACATCCTCCTGTTAAATTGTTGTGGTTTTTTTACAGGTTATTGGGGAAGCAAGGGTTCAAAATCAGCTGCCTGGCGTTGAGCAATGTACAGTCGATAACCTTGCGGCAGAACTAAGGCAAGAATTGGAATACTTTAAGAAGGCAAGTCGTATAAAACTTCTGCGTATTTCATTATTAAGTTCACGAACTGAAATATCCGATATTCTCTTTTGTCCCTACATTGGTTTCTCATCTTCCTTGTTCAGGTGTTCAAGCAAGAATTGTTCGTTAAACTTGAAACACCAGCTTCCTGTTCAAACTAATCATGCTACCTCTTAGTTCTTCATCAAAATTGGGTGAGAAAAGTGGTTCAAGTCGACTATGTCGGGAAATGAAGAGTATGCATGCTGTATTCTTCTCATTGTCTTGCGACAAAATTCCCTTTTAATCTCGGTTCTAGTAGCTAGTAGCTTTATCCTGGATGTTCCGAGAGGTAATCTGAGTAGCTGACGACCACCTACTGGTAAAAAACATCCTGTGGTGGTTCCCCGGCCAATGGTGTGGCTGGTGCTTAAGAATACATGGAGCCTGGTGAATGCAAATAGCTCAGCAGTTGATGCACAATTTTCGTCTGCGATTTCGAAGAAAACCTCAGGGTGATATCTAACAGCAGGTGTACCTTGGTCTCTGTTCTAACAGTTGCAACTGCAGATGTTGACTTCATTGTATCTTTAGACATTTATTTTTATGTGTATACGGTTATTGTTCAAATATATATTTATAAGTTTTCGAGTTCGATATATGCTATACGAAAAACCATTTCAAACATTTAAATATACTAGTTTCAGGTATGAATTCGTATATGAAAAATTTACCAAAATCTAAATATATTTAAATTTTACAATATATTCTTATAGATTTTTAGAAACAATAAACTTAGAATACTAAAAAATGTAAAAATATATAACAATTTTATTCGATTGATGGTAGTTGGAGACTACTAACTGCAGAGGAACATAAAATAAAATTTGTGCTTAATTATAATTGGAGTACAATATGTTTCTGTAAACAGAATCTTTGAAGGATGCAAAAATGGGAAAATCCAGTGGACCATCTTGGCCTTTCTTATCTTCAGAACGTACAGCTTTATTTTGTTTTTGGAAGGAATATACCTTTTCAAAATCTAAATGATTTGTTTAGGGGGGAACGAAACGAAATGGTTAAACAGAGTAGTTATATACTATATATATAGTTTTCTCAGAGAGAGACAAAATCCAAGAGAAAATAGTTGCTGGGTTTCTCTTTATCCTTTCTCATTCTCCTCCTCTTCTCTATTTGATTATACTTTCAGTTTCTTTTAACTGTAGGGACTGTTTGGCTCGCGGGAAAGGGAAGAAAGTATTTCTTGATCTTATTTATGCTATTGTTTCTTTTTCCTAATTTGCTTCAGTTTTCATGAGTTCGTTAGTCTAGTTCTGAATCATTTGAGATTTTTCACGCTTTTTCTCTTCGAATGACTTTGAACTCTTTTGTTCAAGCTTTTAACGAACTTCTTAAATCAACTATCATTTGCTTTGCATTTTTATGTATGATCAAGCCAATGTTTTCCCAATGTAGAATATCCAGCTTTATACCTTTTTTGGATGCTGAGAAAATGGAGGTAAAATTAAAAGGAAATAAAGTTTAGAATGAATAGCCTTGGCATTTAGCGCTTGCTTCAGTTGCTGTTGTTTGTTTTCCTGGATTTTCAACTGTATTTGTGCTGTTTTGTTTTTGTATTTCCTTTCACACAAGGAGGATGATTTTTAGGATTAATAGTTCATCAAGGTGTGTGGTTATTGTTGCTTCTATGAATTGGACTTTGAAAAAGTTCAAATTACAGAATGACACCAAAGTCAAACATAACACATGATGATTATATGAAGTATTCACGCAAATGTTTCGTTTATATATATATATGTATATATATTACTTCAGCATTGTTGGGTACGCCTTTTTGAAATGGGATTTGAGGAAAAAGCTATAAAGCTGCAAGTTAAAGAGGAGAAAGCTTACGAAACAAAAACAATTTGTCTGCAGATCTAACCTATGTTGCTCCAGTAGTGTTCTTATACCTTCTTAAAGAATGTTATGTTCATAGTAAAGTTTTACTTCTTTTCGTTGCTAATATTAACACTCACTAGGAGAAGTTTTCCCTGCCTTTTTCTTGTTTGTTCTGATTCTCAGGGATGATTTGACAGGAAACTTGAAGGCAACTAAAAAGTTCTGAGCTCTTCAACAGCAAGTTTGCCAAGTTCTAAGTAGTTCTCCCCAACCAGGACCGGCAGCTTTTGTTGCTCGTTGTCTCTATATCCTGCCTATATTTGGATCATATTGTGAAGGCTTCAGTCATTTGATCATATCTTCTTTTCATCGGTTTCTAAAGACAGAAGCCACCACTGGGGACTTTTTGGAAGCAAAATGTATAGCCGTGCAGTTATTTCTCGATATTGTTGAGGGTTCTATTGACCATGACGATAGGATTGCTGTGAAGATACTTGAAGTGTTTGATGTCCGGTTGACAGATATTGAGAAAGTTGTTTCCCAATTAAAGGCCAAGAATGACCATAGGTTTGACAGTGTAAAGACATTTGTTGAGCAGTATATATTTGGATTGATAGAATCAGTGTCATATATGACAGCAGTGAATATGTTGGAACATTTCTCTATCCGCCAATCCGGGCAATCTTTTCTTCTCAAAATGATAGAAAACAAACAATTCGCAGCAGCTGAGAAGTGGGCAACATTTATGGGGAAGCCAATGCTATACATACTCGTCCAGGAGTATGTTGAGAGGAACAAGCTAAAATTTGCTTATTTGATTGTAAAGAAGAACGATCTCCAGCAAGAATACAAAAAAAAAGGTACCTGAAGATATCTTAATCTCCATACAGGCAATTTGCTCTGCCCATCTCTGATCCCAGAAAAGGCTTGGAGTAGAGGTGTTAAAAACGGTAAATATGATACTACTATTTTGCCATATTGTAGCACACTAAAAGAATTATCAGAAAAAGCATGCTGGGATGTTGCAGAGGCGAAGACAAATGGCGATAGACAATTAATTATCTGGTAAGTATATTTTTATACGGACCTTATCATTTTCAAAAGGCTATTTAATATGAATTGAAGCTATGGGGTTTTTGCCAACTCATTTGTTTTTCCCAAATTTCTCATAGGTTTGTATGTTTATTTATCTTGTTGATTTTGAATACATCCTATGTATGTTAAAAAATTACTTTCTGGATGTTAGGTTTATCTGGCCATGGAAGCTGGTTACTTGGAGAAGGTTGATGAACTGTGTAATCGTTACTCCCTTGAGGGTCTTCCAAAAGTGCAAGGTATCATCACTGATGGGGCTTGTTTTTTTTAAAGGAACAGGATATATAGACTATAGAGGATGGATGTTACTGAAACTTATTGTGAACTGCATTTGTTTGGATCGAATGTGAATCTACAATCAAGACCGTATAATAGAAGCATATATAATTCTGATATTTGTATTCCTTCTTACTCTGTTCAGGGTGCTAATACTTTACATTGTTTACCATTTGTATTGCTTAGCATTCGATGCTGTTAAAATCCACTATTCCAACCCTAGCGCTTGTTGTTTATTCTGGTTTGTGCAGTATTTGTAGATATAAATAGAACTTTTAGACTTCTTTGTGATTAGCCAAAAGGCAGACTCTCATGCTACTGGTTATGCTTTTGTTCATAACTTGGAGCAAGTTTTCTGCGTCTGCGTTTTTTAAATCTCAATGAATTGGTAGTATATGGCATAATCTGGGTGGATGAACTTAATGGGCTTGGGGAGGCAACATGTCATATAGAGGGATCCAAAGTCGTGGGACTTGACTGTGAATGGAAACCCAATTATGTAAAAGGTAGTAAGCCAAACAAGGTAAGCATGTACCATCTTCTTACATTTCCTGTAGTTTTTTATTACTCTTGATTGATATAGCCTAGGCCCTCAGAACATTTTTTCTTGGAAAAAAATGTTGAAATGAATGTTAATCCTCTTTTTTATAACTTGGTTCATTATGGAATTAGCAGCAAGCTTGCATTGCCAAACCATAAGTCACTGAACTTGTTTGCATTTTTGGTTTATCCATTGTGATTTATGACTGATCAAAGTGTCCTTAAACAATAAATATGTGTTTCTGTGTATCAGGTTTCTATCCTGCAAATAGCTTCTGATAAGAAGGTTTTCATCTTTGACATGATAAAATCATACGAGGATGTGCCTGATGTTCTGGACAACTGCCTAACTCGCATCTTGCAGTCTCCAATAATTCTAAAACTTGGAATGAGAATCTGTCCTTTTCGGAAGAAGGGGATCTTCTTCCCATATAGATCCTACTTTTCTAGTTATTTTTTTTCCTGATACATTGAAACCATCCTTGATATACACAGAAGGTTTGCTGTCTGTCTTAAAAAAACTAAAGCATCTCTTGCTTGTTGTAACGATGCTGAGTTAGCTTTTAAACATGCTTCTCATTGTAGGTTATAGTTTTCAATGTGATATAAAACAACTATCTCAATGATATGGATATTTGAAGTGTTTCAAGAGCTATAATATGCTATTGGACATTCAGAAATTGTACAAAGATCCCCGAGGTGACCTATCTGGCCTTGCAGAGGTAAGCTAAACATGAAGTTCTAGTTTATGCATTCCATCCTTCCAAATTCCATTTCAGATACGATTCTGTTTCCTATCTTTTATTTTCTGCAAATAAATGGTGCACAATTCCTCCTACTCAGAAAATATTGGGAGATGGCTTAAATAAAACGAGACGGAATAGCAACTGGGAACAAAGACCATTGACCCAGAATCAGGTTTCCACCCATGTTGTTCCTTGAATTTTCCTATTTGCAGCTGTAATAAAGCAAGACAGAATAGCAACTGTGTTTACACTTAATGAAATTTTCTTAAGCTTGAGTACTGTTGACGAAAACGGGTAAAGAAAACAAAAGAACACGAGAATTTTACGAGGATCGGCAATGTGCTTACGTCCTCGGTGCCTAGGCGGCGCTAGAAGTTTTTATTCAATGATATTTTAGGTCTAGGTTACATCTCTATTTATAATAGAAAACCCTGGTACATAATTACAAAATTAACCCTGTACCGTACCGCGGGGGCTGCGCCCCTGCACCCCCAACCCACATAATTCGTAACCCCACAACGAGACTTTCTTTGTAAGGACAGTTGATGTTCGCTTCACTCACTCCGCTCCATCTCCTGTCCTCTTTACTGGTATATTTATGAGTCATACCTAACAAATCTCTACCTTGGCGAATATCCTGCCTCTTGAAAATTCAATGTGAGTTGGGTTACCTTGATTCTTTAACAACTCGAAACATTCAACAAGTCCAAGCAATGCTTGAACTTGTCTGTCGTAACTAGCTTAGTGAACATATCAGCGACATTTTCATCAGTATGTACCTTCTGAAACAAAACCTCTCCAGATGCAACCAACTCTCTGATCTTGTGGAACCTTACATCAATATGTTTAGTTCTAGCACGATACACCTGATTCTTAGCCAAGTGAATAGCACTTTGATTATCACAAAGCAACTGAACTCCACCTTGTTGAACACCCAACTCCTTCACTAAACCAGTAAGCCATAAAGCTTCTTTTGCAGCTTCAGCCGCTGCCATGTACTCAGCTTCAGTTGTAGATAGAGCCACAATAGATTGAACAGTAGACTTCCAACAAATAGGCCCTCCACCAAGAGTAAAGACATACCCTGTCGTAGATTTTCTATTATCCAAGTCACCTGCATAGTCTGAATCCACATATCCTACAGCCAAAGGATTATCCCGCTGACTCCCAAAAACAATTCCATGTCCCACAGTACCCTTTAAGTACCGAAAGATCCACTTGACTGCTTCCCAATGTTGCTTACCAGGTTTAGACATGTACTTACAAACTTGACTAACAGCATGAGCTAAATCAGGACGAGTACATACCATCGCATACATCAAGCAGCCAACAGCATTAGAATACGGAATCTTTGCCATATCTTCAGCTTCCTTATCTGTCTTGGGACACTGTTCTGATGAGAGCTTAAAGTGATTCGCCAATGGAGTGCTAACTGGTTTTGCGCTGCTCATCGCAAACCTTTCTAGCATTTTCTCAACATAACCCCGTTGAGATAGCCGCAGTTTCCTTGAGTCTCTGTCCCTGCAAATTTCCATTCCAAGAATTTTCTTTGCAGCACCTAAATCTTTCATATCAAATTCCTGACTCAATAAAGTTTTCAAACCGATAACATCATCCATGTTCTTCGCAGCAATCAACATATCATCAACATACAGTAATAGAAAAATAAAAGAACCATCATCAAGGCTCTTAACATAGACACAACAATCATACTCACATCGGTTGTAGCCAATCTTGATCATATAGGAGTCAAACCGTTTATACCACTGTCTCGGAGACTGTTTCAACCCGTACAAAGATTTCTTCAATCTGCAAACTAAATGCTCGTTTCCAGGTTGAGTGAAACCTTCAGGTTGCCGCATGTAGATCTGCTCCTCTAAATCACCATGCAAAAAAGCAGTTTTAACATCCATCTGCTCTAAATACAAATCCCAACTAGCCACCAATGCAAGTACTGCTCGGATTGAAGTGTGCCTGACCACAGGAGAAAAGATTTCATCATAATCAACTCATTTCTGCTGTGAAAAACCCTTCGCTACCAAACGAGCCTTGAACTTCTCCCCCTCTTTTTCTGTTACTACTGGTTTCTTCTTATACACCCATTTGCAACCAATCGGCTTCTTACCCTCAGGAAGGGGAACTAACTCCCATGTGCGATTGTGATTCAAAGACTCCATCTCCTCAACCATGGCTGCCATCCACTTGTCGTTTTCCTGACTAGTAACGGCATCATGAAAAGTAACCAGATCATCACTGCTAACAATAAGTGCAAAAGATACCAAGTCTTCAAAACCCAATCTGTTCGGAGGCTTTATATTCGTTCGTCTCACCCTGTCTCTGGCGAGACTATAATCCTGCAAATCATCCGTAGTGGAACCACCAGAAGTCGGTTGAGAAGTTTCTGGTTTCTCAACTGTAAACTGCTCGAAATCCACCACTGTCGTGTCTTGCTTCTGCTGCAACATGGATTGTTCATCAAAAACGACATCTCTACTAATCACAACTTTCTTCGCAACTGGATCCCAGAACTTGAATCCTTTGACACCTTTCTTGTAACCCAGAAAAATGCACTCCTTCGATTTTGCATCAAGTTTGGATCTCTCATCAGCAGGTACATGCACATAAGCAGGACAACCAAAAATCCGTAAGTTATCAAAACTAACATCATGACCAGTCCATACCTCTTCTGCAACTTTCCCAGCCAGCGATGCCCTTGGCGATCTGTTGATAAGGTAACACGCCATGTTAACAGCCTCAGCCCAGAAGTGTTTGGGAAGCCCCGCATTCAACCGCAAACATCTGGCTCTTTCATTCAACGACCTGTTCATTCATTCCGCAACACCATTCTGTTGTGGTGTCTTGCGCACTGTAAAATGCCTCTGAATCCCATGCTCCTTACAGAATTGTAGGAACTGTGAATCTGTGTACTCCGTACCATTGTCAGACCGCAAACACTTGATTTTTCGTCCTGTTTGGTTTTCTACCTCAGCTTTCCACATCTTGAACTTCTCAAAAACTTCAGATTTCTGTTTCAAATAATACACCCAAACTTTCCGTGAAAAATCATCAATAAAAGTAACATAGTACCTAGATCCACCCAAAGACGATGTCGTGGAAGGCCCCCATACATCAGAATGCACATAATCAAGAATCCCTTGAGTTGTGTGCTTCGCAGTCTTGAAACGGACTTTAGTCTGTTTACCAAGAACACAATACTTGCAAAAGTCGAGCTTACAGCTTTTGACACCATGCAACAAGTTTCTCTTGTGTAATTCTGCCATACCACGTTCACTAAGATGAGCAAGGCGCATATGCCACAATTTTGTCGTATCATCACAGGACTCAACAGAGTGAACTCCACCTGCAACGGTACTCCTTAACAATCTGTAGATATTCCCTGCAGTCATCTTGCCTTTCATCACAGTCAATGCTCATTTAACAATCCGAATGGTTTCCCTATCCTCGTCAGCCTTAGGGATAAAACCATTCTTGTGCAAAGTGCCCAAGGAAATCAAATTCTTCTTCAAGTCTGGGATATGTCGAACATCACTCAACGTCCGAACGGAGCCATCGTGCATCTTAATTCTGACATCACCAATACCAACAATATTGCAACATCGATCATCACCCAAATAAACCGAACCAGAATTAACCGGCCTGTATGTCGAAAACCATTCCCTATTTGGCGTGATGTGATAAGAACATCCAGAATCAAGAATCCAAGCATCCGTCAATTGTGTCGTTGAAATAGAAAGCATATCACCCTCACTGCAATCAGAATTATCATCCTCGACCACGTTCACAGACTTGGATGAGCCATCACGCTTCTCATCAGTCTGCTTTTTCAACTTCGGACAGTCTCGCTTCATATGTCCCGCCTCCTTGCACTTGTAACAGTGAATCGTCTTCTTATCCCTGGATTTGGATCTGGAATTCCGCTTCCCGGACCCTGCCTTCTCTGGCTTCCGTCCACGATCTCGATTACCCTTGACATATAAGCTATCGGCTTGAGAGCTTTCCCCTGCATTCTGCTTCCGCTGGTTGTGAGCCAACAAGGCTGCAGTAATCTCCTCAACATTGATAGTCTCTTTCCCATATGTAAGAGTAGTCACCATGTGTTCGTAAGAGGGAGACAACGAACACAACAGAATCATCGCTCTGTCTTCATCCTCAATTTTCACATCAAGCCGAGCCAGATCAGAAACGATTTGATTGAAGACATTCACGTGTTGCGCCAAATCGTGATCGTCCTGCATCTTCAGCCCATACAGCCGCTGCTTCAGATACAGTTTTGTCGTTAAGGATTTGGACATAAACTGACTTTCCAACTTCCTCCAAATTTCGTCTGGAGACGATAGATGCATGACGTGATACATGACCTCGTCCGCCAAGCATAATCGTATGGTTCCTGCCGCTCGCTGTTGCAATTCTTCCCAATCTTCCTCATCCATCGACGCAGGCTTTATAGATCGCAAAGCCTTCAAGATCCCTTGCTGCGCCAATAGATCCTTCACCCTCGTTTGCCATAATCCGAAGTTACCCTGACCATCGAATTTCGCGACTTCGAATTTTGCTCCTGACATCTGATACCAATTGTTGACGAAAACGGGTAAAGAAAACAAAAGAACACGAGAATTTTACGAGGTTCGGCAATGTGCTTACGTCCTCGGTGCCTAGGCGGCGCTAGAAGTTTTTATTCAATGATATTTTAGGTCTAGGTTACATCTCTATTTATAATAGAAAACCCTGGTACATAATTACAAAATTAACCATGTACTGTACCGCGGGGCTGCGCCCCCGCACCCCCAACCCACATAATTCGTAACCCCACAACGAGACTTTCTTTGTAAGGACAGTTGATGTTCGCTTCGCTCACTCCGCTCCATCTCCTGTCCTCTTTACTGGTATATTTATGAGCCATACCTAACAAGTACGCTGCTCTTGATGCTGCTGTTTTTATCGAATTATTCTACTGTGTTCGGAATCATTCTCATACTGATAATTCATTGGACAGGAACGAAAAAATCGAGTGGAAATCTCACATTGTAAGTACATGGTAATGCTCCTATATTTAACGTGCCGGCTAATACCATCTGGGTCTTATTGTTGGAGTATTTTGCAGGTTTCTCACATGGATAATCCAAAGAAGACCAGGAAGGAATCTAGAGTTCGAAAGGAACCAGAAATCGAGGACAATCCGTGAGAGTTTTAGCTTCCATGCCAACCACAATACAACAAGGCCATAAATTGCATATAAGCTTGTAAATATGGTTCAAACTCAGGACTAAAACATGGATGTTTGTGTACATCGCAACTAGGCTTTAGACTGTACCAGGATTTCTTATTGCATATCTTGTCGAATATTCCGCCATTAAAACTACCGTAAAAACCGTTGAACAAAAAAAAAAAGCACTTATAACTGCCGCTGAACTTTCTTATAACTACTTCAGTAGTTTTTCTTTAGTGAAAATTAGGTTTGCACACTTCCAACCATAAATGTTGAAAGGTTAGTTAAATTTTTTATTACTATTGTTTTTGAAAATTTGTTAGACGAGTTGATTGAATATTTACTTTTATTTCAAAATGACATTGTTTCAAATTTAAATTTTTAATGATCAGAAAATTTTTGTAGATGACATAATACAATCAAATAACTTGTAACGGTGAAATTCGAGATGAGACATTTTTAGAGAGATAATTAAGAATAAATATTAAAATTCTATACAAATTTTTGTTAATTGCATAGTGTAGTACATAAAATTTGATTTTATATAATTATAGGTATAAAACTTGATTTTAGTTCCATTATATATATATTAAAAAATAAGTATAGCACAAACCAAACGACTTCACTGGTAAAGGAATTGTTGTCACTCTTTGAGGTTTCGAGTTCGAACATAAAAAAAATTAGGAGTGTGAGTGTTTAATGTCAAATGATTGAGAGTTATATATGAACATATAATATCTTGTATTTATTTCGGATTAATATATATATATTAAAGACATAATTACAATCATGTTTATCAGTAAATATAACTATTACATATCAAAGTCATTACAAATAAATTAAATCACTACAGAGCATATAATTATTTTGTGTTCTAATTACACATGATGGGATTTAATCGAAATAAGTATAGAGAAATCTTATATATATACATATATATATATATATATATAATAGAATTGATATTTGATTAACTGATATTATATGGAGTAATTAGTTTAAATAAATATAGATTATTTAAAATCATGATCTATTTATATGCAATTTATAAATGTGGTCGTGTGCCACGTCTTCCCAGCAGCGAGGAAGACTGGAAGATCCGAAGGTCATGGTAAAAGTGCTTCATGTGGCATGGCATTGGTGAAAGAGTTAAAAGAAGAAAATTACAAGACAATTGATTTGTTTCACAAGGGAAGACCTTGGGTTCTTAAATTTCCAATGGCAGAGTTAGGTTTGTGTATTGTAATGTCACTGCTTCTCCAATATTTACTGCTCAAACTCAGACCAGGCATTTTTCTTACTCTTTTAAGCTCTCTTGTTTTTTTTACTGTTTCTTTTATAATGTGATCTTATCTGGTTCCAACCGAATCCGTCTCTTAGCATCTCTGCTATTGTCACCAAAATATTTTTCTCCTGAGATGGATCTTTCTTCTCTGTCCTTTTCTTACATAGAAACCAAGCCCATTTTTTTATTACAATTATCCTAGTTGCAATAAAAGGAAAAAACAAATCCTTACCATACATGGAAGAAACGAAAATGGTGCTTGGATCATGAATTTTGGCAGCTTTTGAAGAATTCAAGGTGAGTTTTTGTTTTTCCTCTTGCAATGAAGTTCACGGTTTGCTTATTAACATCTTTGTTTTCCCTTTGGGAGGATTTTTTTCATCTTCATTAGTTGGTTTTCCCCCCATACATGTTGGATTTATGGAGATCTGATCCCCCTGTTCATGTACTCCAGAGTTGATACATTGTTTATCTTTGTTGGCTGAATGAGCAAATGAAAGTAAAATCAGGTGTGAGTTTGAAGATTAGAGTTTCCATAGATTATGTTTTGTTATAGTTGACTTATGGTGTAATAATTATTGTTTATGTATTTTGGTTTATAGATGCAACAATGGAGGTCGAAAAGAAGCAATCAAAGGGGGGATTTTTTCATTTGTTTGATTGGAATGGTAAATCTCGAAAGAAATTGTTCTTGAACACTGCTGAAATCTCAGGTATTTGTTACTTTTTGTATGTTACAAGTCGCTTTCTTCGTCGTCTCCGATAAATTCGTAATTCATGTGCAATTTGCAGGAGAATCAAAGAAAGGAAAACCTGTGGAAAATCAACTGAAGTCACCGCCTTTTATGGTGGGGGATGACTACAATGGCGCTTCAAGTAATACATGCAGTGCTGTTTTTAGTTCGGCTTCCTCGGTGACTAGTGATGAAGGATGTGGATCTAGAGCACCTGGAGTTGTTGCTAGGCTTATGGGTTTGGAATCATTGCCCACGCCGAATATATCCGAGCTATCTTCTACGACATATTCAGGGTCTTGCTCTCTTAGAGTGTCTCATTATGAAAGGAGTATTCCTAATTTGTGGAATGAATATCCACCTATGGACTACACCGTCTCTAACAAGCTTGATAGGTCGTCTTCCGATCCCATTGAACCAAGGTTTCATACGGTGAAGAACCGACCGATTGAGAGATTTCAGACTGAAATATTGCCACCGAAATCAGCAAGACCGATTCCAATAACTCACCATAAGCTCTTGTCTCCTGTCAAGAGTCCGGGGTTCATCCCAACCAAAAATGCAGCTTATATAATGGAGGCAGCTGCAAAGATTATAGATGTTAGTCCTCAGACAACTTCCAAAACTAAAGGGTCTTCATTTGGTTCTTCTTCAGTCGCTTTGAAAATCCGGGATTTGAAAGAGAAAATCGAAGCCGCACATAAGGTATCCAGGCCTCAAAGATTTGAAGAGCCTAGTTCGAGTGCGGCAAAGTCTTTGAAAGAAGGAAAGAGTCATAATAAATCAGATTATGCATCAACATTAAGGACATCTAGGGATTCAGAGAAAGGTAGTTGTAACAGTTCAAGGAATAAGGGGAAATCAGTCCCACTTGCACAACGAGCAAGGGCTAATGGTCGGAGGAAAGAGGAGTCGTTTTCAGGTAGTAATGGGAGTTCTGCAAATCCGGAGCAAGGGAATGATGCTAAAGGAAAACAATTTTCTAGGAGCCGGGCCGATATGCGAAAAAATGTGGAGGATGGAACTTCTGCTAATAGGACTAACAATGTCCTGAGGCAGAATAATCAGAAGCAGAACTGCATATCTGGTAGAGACTACTCAACATCAAACGCTTCAACCCGGGACCGGCAAGGTAGAAAGGTTAGGTCCTTAAATGGCACAGTGGGGTTGAATAGGACTATAAACAAGGTGACTGTGACCTCCGAATCTCAGTCCAGGAACACGGGTTCTTCAAAGGAGCTTCCCATGTCTAGAAGAAAGAATTTGCCCAGAAAGAAACAGACCGCAAATGATGATCTTCTGTCTGAAAAAACAGTTTCTGAAAATTCATCAATAAATGGTGTTGAAAGGTCCATAAAATGTAATGTTACAACTGATGGGAAATCGAATCAGGATGCAGAGAAAATGAAGACAAGCATGGATGTAGTTTCGTTTACATTTACATCTCCCATTAAAAGATGTATGCCTGATATACCTTCCACAATTGAAGTTGTGGAACCGAGCTGCAGCGTTGATAGTGATCCTTCCGATGACAATGTTACACCATTCTCGAAAAGCTCAGGATTTTCTTCTCTTGGACTAAATAAAATTGGTGGGGAAGCTCTGAGTGTTATTTTAGCAAAACAGCTACATGAATTGACATATAGAGTCGAGTCATCCAGTTGCAATATCATTTTTGAGGAGACTTCGTGTAGTCCCACATCCAGTCAGCAAAATTCAGTGCTCCCGTCTAGTACAGTGACCACTACATCAACAGGACATCACAAAAGACTTCCGGTGGATCTAGTGAAAGACATATCACTTAGTTTCGATGATTTCGATTGCTCTTCAATTGACAATCCGGAGCTTGATTGGAGAAGGAAGTGGCAGGTTTAGTTTACTCGCTCACTGCTACCATTTACTTGTACAATGACATTTGTTGCCTATTTCTTGGTGTTTGTAATGAAGTCTCACACTGCAAAAGGCTTTTCCAAATTATAGAATTTAGTCCTTGGATTTTAGATGGCGTTTTTCCTTAACCAAAAAACATCAGAATTTTACTGAACTCTACCTAGAGACAGAAACTTCAGTTTTTACGAGCTAAAATCCAAGCCAACGTAGCCATGATCATAAGGAGAAGTTGATAGCTAATGGAGAACTTTTCCTTTTTCCATTTTCTAATGGCCTACACCTGCATCCTTTTATTCTATCCGGAAGAATAGAGATTCATCTTCTTAGAGTGATATGGATGGTTGATAGGATGTCTCTAAATTCAAAATTTTCCTTGATTGTCTTTTACATTTCATAATTCGACACATGACTTTAGCTTTATCGGACAATACCAGCTTTCAGAAGAAATTGAAGATCGAAATGCTAGCAGCAGCAGCAGCGAGACTGGCATAGAATTAGGTCTTCCATGGCCTAGCCCGCTTTCAACTCTTGAACTTGCTACCAAGAATGAGTGTTTCGCCGATGGTAGTAGAGATTACACCCGTGGTAAGCTGTACGCTTCTTATTTTCTTGAGACAATGTCTACAGTATATTTAACTATGTCTGAAAGGCAAAGAAAAGATTATTTGCATAGATGATTAATATGTAAACTCAGTAATCAGGTTGTTGCGATGACTAATGCAATCTCCATTTCCAGGCATTATGTGTTTCACTCCCGATGATGAAGTTTTAAGCTCATCACCAATCAAGTCTTCCCACACCGCTGGAGAAATCGACGAAAAGCTTCTAACTACGAAATCCGATTCAACAGATTTTAAAGAGTCAACCAATTCCGAACTCGATTATGTTAAAATGGTGCTAAAAGACTCCGACCTAAAGTTCATAGAATATGCACTGGGTCAGACTGATAATAACATGATCCTGAATGCCTTCGATCGGCTCCAGCATTGGAACGGAACAGAAAGACACGGAGAAGACTGCGAAAAGCTCGAACTAAAGCTTTTACTCGATTGTGTGAGCGAATCCCTGAAGCTAAGGTACGACCAAGTTTTTATCGGAAGCTGCAAAGGATATGCTAAGTGGGGAACATTGATCCAAAACAAAGAATGTCTAGCAGAAGAGTTGTACAAAGATATATTGGGTTGGAGAAACATGGCGGACATATTGGTGGTGGATGACCTTGTAGGCAAGAACATGAACGCAAAGCATGAGAGATGGCTTGATTTTGACATGGAAGCATTTGAAGAAGCTTTAGAGGTTGAGAATACCGTATTAACTTGTCTTGTTGATGAATTAGTTTTTGATTTATTGCTTTAAAGGCTCTCTCATAACCATTTTCCCTTGTAATTCACTGTCCAGCCAAGCATATATATATATATATATATATATATATATATACACACACACATATACATATACATGTATATATATTTGGCAATGGAAGGTGGGATGTGGAAAAACATGTTCTTGAGGACAAAGGGTTCTCAATTTATTCCATAATTAGAGAAAAACTGAGACGTTGATAAATTAGTATGATCTGCCTTTCAAGCCAGAATCTGAAAATTATATTAACAACCAACCTAATGATATCTCGATTCTCGAAGAAGGCGGCCGCCGAATGAAATATGCAGTGCATAGATGAAACCTGATCCTTTTTAAGAGATATGAACAGTAATAATACAAGTAAACTAACCATTAAAATTACTTCGGTCTGTAGCAGAGGCAGAATGCCAAATATATATAGAAAATTAATATCATGGATGATGGATCCCTACTCTTCTCTCAAGGCTTGCTTTTTCTTTAAAAAATTAGTTTTTTTTTTAATGTTACAAGCTAAAGACATTCAGCAGCCATTCATCCTTACAAACAGGGTGATAGATCATATATATAAAAAATTGACATTTGCAGGTATTTTGGGATTTATGTTCTAGTGGGACATGAATGGAACATTGAATTTGGAAATGAAAATGTCATCTTTCTAGTAAAGAAAGTGACAGTGGCAAGTCAATACAAATTCACAGTAGTCTTTCATTAAAAGTCACTGAACTTTATAATTTGATTAATCATTGAAAAAAGGTTGATTTTTTAGTATGAGAAAATGGAAAGTTGTGTGAACGCGACCATTATAAAGCACCCCACAACATAATGATTAACCAATCCAAAATACATACACTTTGGTCGCACAAAAAAGAAAGAAAAATGGGGTTCCAAAAACTCCACGAGCCTCAAGTGTTGCTTGAAGACAGTGACAGTGACAGTGACAGCACCAGCTCCACACCCTATGTTAGTGCTCATTCAAGCCCTGGACCCGGACCAGGATCAACCAATGGTGGGTTTTTTTTCAGTGCACCAGCTAGCCCTATGCACTTCCCCATGACTACCTCAGTGGTTCCAATGGTATCACTAACAACTCAACCATCTCCTCCTGGTCATGAGTTTGAGTTCGGTTCTTCAGGGTCGAGTCAAAGGGGATCCATCATCTCAGCTGATGAACTTTTCTTGAATGGACAAATCAGACCGTTGAAGCTATCCACCCATTTGGAAAGGCCTCAGGTAGCTCCATTGATGGATAAGCCCTTAAGGAAAAGAACAAAGTCCATCTCGCCTTTGAGACATGCAATTAAAGATTTAGGCCAAAAAGCTGGCGGCAAGAACAATGGAACGATCTGCGATTCAATGCCGGCTGCTGCTTCTTCAGATGGAGAAAGGTCAAGGAAATGGGGTTTTGGCCTAAAAGGTTTTAGAAGGAGCAAAAGTGAAGGAAGAAAGTGGTCAAAAGAGAAGCAGCCTGGGAACAAGAGCAATGGTGTGGTTCAAGAGAAGCTAAGCAATGGGATCATAGGGCACAAGCTGAAGAAATGAGGAGGAAGACCTTCTTGCCTTACAGACAAGGTTTGCTTGGGTGTTTACGGTTTAACTCAAAAGGCTATGCTGCCATGAATGGCTTAGCTAGAGCTGCAAATACTCTTCCTTCCAGGTAAATGCAGAGGTATCAAAGAAATATTGTATAGTTTCATTTAGCAGCAATAACGTGTAAAAACGTATGCAGCATTCCTTGTATTTTGCAGTGAAAACGCAGTAGGATCTAATGTGTATTGCCTTGACAATGATCCATGTTTCATCAGTAATAAGAACTGTTGCTGTTAGATCATTGAAGCAATAATAACATGAGGCACATGGTTCAGTTCAGAGATCTCAAGTCTTCTCTCTTCATAATTTGGCGGCACAGATTAACCCACATTAGCACTATCACAGGAGGATGGGTCCGATTCCGATATCGAAATGAAAACTCCGTGTGTTGCATATGTGTACGATGTTTATATGTATTGCATCAAATTATTGGTTTGTTGGAATTTTCGAAATATAAGAAGTTTATACATTTTAAATAATATATTTTAATAACATCTAAATTACTGCTTTCGTCTCCGTATGTTAGTGACCTTTAACTCTACGACCACCATTTGTACCTAAACCAGAGAACATAACTCCATGATTTCAACCATATGTACAGAATAATTTGTGAGCATACACTTATATTATAGGCACAAAATCTGTATATGAATTGAATAAGTTATAGATAATTTTTTCTCGAAAAGTAAATAAAAAAAAGCCAGCCTGTTGGATAAGCATTTGCATGGAACGGAATTAAGATGGAGGACCCAATTCTATTCATCATCACAGAAGAAGAAGAACCATTGTAAGCTGACATCATTATTGTCATCTATCTCTGATCAGAAGTCGAAGAGTCTCAAAAACAATAACGAGATTCCCTTCTCCCATTTTATTATCTCCCTCTCTCTAGTTACCTGAAGGAATTTTCAGTTGACGATTTCCTGTTTGTTTATTTTATATATAAGAGTTGATGGATTGGTGAAAATAGAAAGGTTGCTTTTCTTGTAGGTACACAATTCATGGGAATTGCTTAGTTCTTGTTCATGGTGTTTTTGAAAACATTAATGGCGATAGAATAACAAAAACAAATGGGATGTTGAAAAATCAAATAAATAGAAAAGTTTGAGTTAAAATGACATGTATCACTCCCTTAGGTGTGACTAAAAATATTTACGATGAAGAACGCAAATAGTCCCGACTATAGGGTAGTGTCTTATTAAGTTCTACGAATATTAAATGTTATAAAATGATTATTCTATTATAGAGTATTTTTTTGTTAAGTTCATCGATTATTAAAAGTTATAAAATGTTCACCTGACTATTCATTATATTCCAAACTTGTCATTTTTCATTAAAAAAATGACAATTGTTTAAGTTGGATGTTAACATAATGACTGAGATATGATAGTCGTTTGAGAGTTTGGGATCAAATTTTATCATATCACAGTAAAAAAGTTAACTTTCAGTTCAGCTCAGAATATTGTCTTTATTTAACAGAAAAAATGAGTTTAAAACATAATGAATAGTCGAGTGATCATTTTGTAATTTTTAATAGTCGAAGAACTTAACAAAGCAACATTCTATAGTTAAAGGACCATTTTGTAACTTTTAATAGTCAAGGGACTTAATAAAACAGTATCCTATAGTCAAGGACCATTTGCGTTCTTTACCTAAAAATTTAATGTATAAAGTTTAATTATTAAATTGAAAAGTTTTAAACATAGGTGACTAAAATAGGAAAGAGAATAAAGTTGGGTGATGATTTGTGTAGTTTAGCCTAAATTTAACGTAACAAATTTTTTAATAAAAATATAATATAATTTGAGATATAAAATATATAATAAAATTTGAGATATCAAATATGGATTAAATCTTTAAATAATTGGATAAACTACATGAATGGTCACTAAATTTTAGGTAAGTTATTGTTTTCCCCACTGAACTTTTAAAAGTTACAAATTAGTCATTAACATTATTAATTTATAACAAAATGATCCCACGACGTTAATAGCCGTTAGTAAGAGTAACGGAAAACTAAATTGGATCGTTAATCACTGAGCTGGTTTGTTGACCGGTCAGTAGTGGTAAAATCAAAACCCATTCTTCTTCATCCTTGCTCGTCAGTGCCATTGTCTTCTTCTTCAACCATTGGAACATGCTAAACGTGAAAACCAGACTTGGTAGATGACGAACCTTTATTTGAGAAGCTACTATATTTCTCAACTGAAACCTTAGCAGAAGAAAATAATGACGAAAAACATTCTCATATGAAAGTTCAAGATACTGGAAAGTTATAATCACAACAAATGTTTAAGACCGACTCACATTTTTCAATTATCGGTCTAACGTTAGTTCTTTCGCTTGTTTTTATTTCCATTAATTAGACATAAAAATCCATAAGACAAACAAAACAACAAGAAACTCAAGAACAATGGTCAAATAAAATCGGAAAAAAATATACGTACGATTTTTCGGTCAATAAACTCAAGAACAAATGTTTGGTTGGCATAAAATAAGAAAGAAAAAAATGAAAGTTCTCATAAAGTAGCTTGGAATCGTCTTCAAGAGGTGGTTATTAGACAGTGTCGAGATTGGACTTTATTTACTTTTCTTTTAACTTTCTATAAAGAAATCTATTTTATTAGTAACCAAACAATGATTCCCAAATTTGCATGGGGAGCTTGAAATTTCAAGGAAAATTTCAAGGCTTCTAACAGCTTCTGCTTTACTAAAACTACGGGAATACCTAGAAGGTAGAAATAATATGACTCATGGTCTGTATTAAGAATAATAACTTTGAACTAATATTCTGTTGTACGACAAAAGACACCCATCTCATTTGATATTATGCATTAAAGGCTTTTTGGCTCTGGATGAATTCTCTGTTGAAAAAGAGGGTATAAATTCCCTCTTAAAATGAACGAAGTCTCAAAAAATAAATTTTAGTATTTTGCATGTTCCAGAGGATAAAGAAGAAGACGGGTAGCGACGAGCAAGAATGGGGTTTGATTTGACCACTAGTGACCGGTCAACGGGCCAACTTAGTTCTTAATCGTCCATTTCAGCTAATTTTGTTACGAATCGATTTAGTGATCAATTTGTAACTTTTGAAAGTTCAGTGGAGAGAACAAAAACATACTCAAACTTTAGTAACCATTCATGTAATTTATCCTAAATAATTTGATTCTCAAATTAAAAGAATAATAATTTCTTGAGACGGTTTTAAAAATCATTATTATTTTTTGAATGATAAAGAGATCAGACGCCTAACTAGGCAGGTCTGTAAGTACAGTAGGGAGACCGTCAGAGTCGCGTTGCAACAAGCGTTGAACAAAATTCGGGGCGAGGGAGAGATAAACCATATCAAAATGGTATGGGGTGGCATTTTTTGTCATGGCATCAACATAAAAGTTTGCTTCTCGATAAGTCTAAGTAAAATCAAGCTCCCAACTTCGTAGCTTTAAGAAGGAGATGG